TAGCATAATTAATTTAACAACCTTACAGGTGAGATCGACCCATAGATATCCGAACTATACAGAGCTAATTTAAACAATATGCAAACTTATAACTAACTCGTAAGACCTATCCTCCAAAGTTATTCTCATAGAATAACTGTGTTTAATGAATCAAAAGCTACATGAAGTTTCCTTCTTAAACTTTTATAATATATCTATTCATTAATAAAAGAAGTTATGCACCAAGAAGAAAGCTTTGGAATCGAATGTAACCTCAATAGTTTGAATGTAATAATAATGGTAATAAGTGGTTATAATATTATAGCAAAAAGACAATTTTCCGTGGAACAAAAACAAAATTTAAAGGAATCTTTAGTGCTCTGTAGGACTTCTCTTGCCTGACTTGGCAATCTATCAGGAATGAAGGTGTGCTGCATGAGGCACACAGACACCGTATGCTATCCTGCGACAGATTTGCCCACACATGTTGAAATTGACGTTCCAAATTACTCACGCTCGCAAATGGCCGAAGCTGGAGTCTTATGGTGTCCCACAACTGCTCGGTGGGCGAAACCTGAAACCAACACTACTGTTTAGTAGTTTTATACACGCTATCACTGGTGAACCAAGTCTGGAGTGTAATGAGACCAAGAAAGTGTGGCAACGTGTGTGGAGACATACATGCCTCGGTACGCTAGCTGTGTGGACCAAGCATAATCTTTCTGGAAAATAATTGTTTGAGACAGTGTCATGCAACACATGAGGACTCAGGATTTCTTAAATGTACAGTACAGTTGTGCCCATCGATGTCTCTCACACCTGTAAAGTGACCGACTATCATACAAAATGTCTTCCCTACATCAGCATGCCAGTTGTTAGGGGTTCAAGTGCTCATTAGTAATTATCCGTTTCCAAACACACTCAGTCACTTGAGACTATACTCTGACAATCTGTAACAATCCACGTTTCTCTGTCACGACACCAGTACAAATTCAACGTTGTTGGGGTACTAATGGACAGAGCTATCATTGTGCATACAAATTTGCTTCCACTAGTCGCCTGCTAATGTTCACCATTCAGAGACAGGGTTCTGTAGAGAGCTTCCATCTGTTTCTGGATAGTGAACAAAGACAACATTGTAACTGTTCATGCTTATTTCACAATCAGACGATTACCTGTCCTAGTTGTCTGTATGAAGCGTTCAGGGCCTGCCTGTCGTGTATCCATGCTCTCACGTATACACTTCTCTCAACACCTCACAGTCAAGTTAGAACGGTTCAGATGGGGGCAGTATATTGAAACAGGCATCCTGATTCCCTCAGTTCGATGAAGCCATTTTCAAACTTCATCAGCTACGCGTAATATTTTTGATTGCTCGAAGACCTTTAAACAAGTATACTGAAAATTCTAAACATTGAGTTTCTGTGAGCCTTTCTGTAGGATACAGTCATTCTAGTGGCATAAAATGGCATGCAATCGGGCTACAATTTACATTTCTAGATGAGACATAGTTGTATGCTGAATTTTGCAGCAATTGGACAATTTTTTCGTGGTATGTAACTTTTTGTCAATGAGTGTATGTAAAGAGAAAACTGATACATGCATTATACATATAAAGAGAAAACTGATACATGATACTGCAACTCATGTAACTAATGGAAAAATAGTAATCCATAATTATAATATTGATTTTAGATGAGAACTGTATTTACTAGACATTATGTTCCAACAACCTATACACTACCCAAAAGAACTTTTGAAAGTCATGTTTTGATGAGCGGTTATTCATCTTGTTGACAATTAAGACACGTAAAGTGTAATATGAGACCCTGAGCGAGCATTAATGTCAATTTCTTCCATATGCAACGTCAGCTTTTTCGGCCGACCTGAAAAGTGAAACTAACTTTCATTGTTTATCATACTGTCAAAGTCTAGAAACTCATTATACCTGAAATAAAATGGAATGCTGTGAGTGTGGTTTAAAAAATAGTCATAGATAAAGTTTAAACAGGCATATTAAGACAAGGTAAGCACATAAAGGACGACATGAGCAATAGGAAAAATATTAAAGTGATGTGCAGGCTGTGTTTTCCTACGTATCACAAAAATAATAGTTTTTTTAATATTGATGTCTCCATTATTAATACATATTGTTCTATAAGAGACAATATACGTAGCGTATGTAATTAAAATACGAGTTATATTTATCTTTTCAGTTGTAAAAATATCATTTTAATTGAAATTATAAATAGCAAAATTGATTGATACTACAGATTGGACTTGACACGTTAAGAAAAATGAAACTCGTTATAAACGGAGGGGTGGACGAAAGTTGGTTTAGGCAGAATTCGAATGTCGAGTTACGAAGGCGATTTGTTAGCCACTTCAATGGGTGGGGAAATATGTTAGATATTCTTGCATTTATATTATCATTTATGATCTAAGCGACTAATAAAAATCGATAAAAGGATTTATCTGCTTTGTAGTTATCTTGTATGTGTAATTTTTCAAAATTTTTTACTTTTTTCAATAAATGATTTATAAAAAATTATACTTAAACCACCACAAAGCTGCTAAGATAAAAGATGATGTCATAAATGTCAGAATACCGAATATCTTCTCACACTTTAAAGTGATCGGCAAATCTTCTTCGTAACGTGACCTTTAAACTTTCACCACAATAAACATTGTTATTGTAATCGTTTTAAAGACGTTGAAAATAGTAATGGGAAGAAAGACAGGTTGTGAAAAGCCAAACAATACTCTATCTGTTAGAAAACACTAATCTGGTTAAGTTATTGTTAGCAATAATACAGAAGTTTAATAACAATATGTATTACGATCAAACTTATGGTACTAAGAAACCATAAACTTTTTCGACGTTAACGGTCAAAATTCGTTCTCTGAAAGAGTGTTTAAACCCGAGAGAAGAGTGAGAAAATATCAACTTTTAAGTCGCCTTATATTTTATTTTATTCATAATTTCACCTTATAATATTACGAGTTAGAGCAGTTCTAAATATCATCGTATCTTTTTTTTTTTATGGAGAAATAATTCATTTATAAATAAGGAGTCTATCTAAAAATTTAATTTATTTTCATTTTTAACTAATAGTAATTACGAATAAAGCATTCATAATATGTAATTATGACAAGAGAATACCACAGAACGTTCATACATACATAATACAAAGTGCCAATTTTTAAGTCCCTTCGACTTTGTATTAACGGGGTTTAATTGTATATAGGCCTATACTTTTTCATTCTTGACACTTTCAACCCTTATGGACACTAAGAAGGCCTTTTTTTTTTAATTCATATCTATCGTGGATTCGGCAAGGCCCACAATATGGTGGCCGAGTGCCAATCTTCAAGCTTTCATCTCCGTATAGTTGACAGCCTAATAATACAGTAGATACTTGATCAAAGTACATAGTCCTATTTCCATTTTGAAATCTGAATATTTATACAGTACTTAGAATTTTTTAAATGTATTTTAAAATTGACGGAATCAGTCCCTGTAGGGCTTCTAGACTTCTACCTAGTTAGCCTTATGAATGAAACTGCCTTGGGTTTAATAGCTTAATAACTCCGTTGGAGTAAAAAATGAAAACTTTTATTAAGTTTATTCCAGACAATTTATTAAACTTTACGAAAAAAATGAACTCTATTGAAGTTTAACTATATATTTATATATACAGTACATACAGTCAAACCTCGATTTTGCCACTTAATTTAGAAACGTAGATAATATATTTTTCTTACTAATTTATTATATAGTTTAGTGAGGAGAAAGCTTATAACTATCAAAGTTTTAAAGTTTTAATGCCTCCGTCATCCATCATTAACATTTCTGAGGGCATCGTTAATCCATTTTTTAATATTGTCAATACACATTAGCTTTCATTCTGCCTAGAATTTGGTGTAAGATCTTCTAGGAATTGTTTAAAGATGCATAATGTCCCTAATATAACTCTTATAAGGCAGAAAAAAAAAATGAATAAATTTGATAAAATAAATAAAATGGATATTTTTAAACAACTTTACACAATAATAATAATAATTTATACTACTTTTATATTGTTTTTTTAATATAGAAAACTAAAATTTAGGCATGTAGCTCAGATTAAAGAGGCCTTTCTATCCAAGTCCTTTTATTAAAAAATCATATAAAAATTAATTAAATTCATCATCTTTCAAGATACTCTACAAGAAAACAATAATAATTCTTTTACATTTTAATTTATAAGTTTACTAACTTACCATAGTAGTAAACTTATAAATTAAAATATAAAAGAATTTTTATTACCATAGTAAAATATTTTATATTATTATAACAATATATAAATCAACCTATAAAATATAACAATTTCTAACTGACATATTATTTAAATACATAAACTTTTATTCATTTAAAGTAGTTAAGGAAATATCTTTGCTTAACAATGACATTTTAAATTGACAATATCACACGATATTGGAATTTTAACATTTCAAATTGGAATTTCAATATTAAAATGAGTCTTAAACAAACACTCAATGCATCTTAATACCTGTATAGAATTTATCAGCATAATTTTGATAATATGTAACGAAGTGATAAGTAAAAGTTTAATGAGGATTTAATTAATATATGATATAAAATTTATTAAATTATAATATCAATAATTAAATTAATTTAGGATAATTTAATTAATTAAAATCCTTTTCAGATAGACTCACTACATGAAATAATTCTTATAAGGATTTTATAAAGACGAGGAGTCCTGTAAGAAATCGAAACAGATACTAGTTACTTATATATATAGACTATATATATTTAGATTTTATATATTAAAAAGAAACTTGTAACATATTTTTTAAGGTAATAAAATTTGACAAAAAGTAAATAAATATTCTTCTTTCTTAATACAAGAAATGCAATGGAATCTCAATAATGCATTAGGCTCTTTAGGAGTCTCGTCATAATGTTCACTAACAATATTTCTTCTTCTATAGCTTTATTTGTATAATAACTGTAAAGAAATTTGGTCGGAAATCTGAAAAGTGCAACGCAGCCCTAAAACTGAGTAATAAATGCTTCAAAACATCCTTTGGACCATATGGGCAAGTGGATAAAATACTGAACATTGGTCTTGAGTTAGCGCCTCACAAACGGGTTGGTAACGTGTAGTTTTCCGTGTCTTCTTCGTGTCTAACACTTACACAGGTGTCAGTTTCCCATAAAAAGTCCTCTCGAAAGCACTCTTTTTTGTTAGATCGTCCATGTGTTGCGTTACCTTATCCATGGTCCTTGCATCTTGGATAAGGTACTTTATCCAATTTGTAGGAGTTCAAGGAATTTGTAAAGTCTCAATTTAATTATAATAAATGCTTACTTAATTAAACTTACCCACAAATTTCTTACTTAAAATTCTAGAAAGAATTCTTACAAAACTTTAAAAAATGTAATCTGAAATGGCCTTGTTTACTTAATCTGTGATAGAGTCTAATTGTTGTAACTTGAAGAAATTTAATTAAAATAAAAATTTACATTAATTTTAATTAAATATATATATTTAATAATAAAAGTTGGTTTTAAATTCTCATTTATCTCTTTGACATATGATTTTTAAGAACAGAAACCTGAAAAAACAATGTACGTTTGTGTGGATATTGATATAAAAGAAGCTTAAAAAATTAATTAAATAATTTATTATGAAATACAAAGAGAATAAATATAAAAGAAATAATTATAATTCTCGACAACAAAAATAAAAAGTAAAATAAAATACTTGCAACGTAAAGAAGTTTATTTGATTTGATTTGTTAGATAAAAATTTTCAAGATGCTTTAATGGTTTCTTCGAGCGATTTACAAGTTAACTGTCTTATGGGCTAACTTGTATAAGCCTACAGCGTGTAATTTTATTTATTAAAAATTCATTATATCCTACTTATTATTCTATTATAAAAATCTTAATTTAATTATCTGTTAACACGAATGAGACTTTCATAATTTAATTTAATTGAATAAATTTCGTTACAATTTCGAATAGTATTAAAAATGTAATATATATATATATAAACTATTATATATTTAAATTCATTTACATTATATCAATCGATTAAGATAAATAAATTAAATAAACGATAAGAATAATATTCGTATCAATAGATATTTCTCTCTACGTTAGTATTACAGTAACATACAAGATGGCCTAAAAGTCATTCTTAAATTTTCTTTTTTTATTTAACTTATTTTATATTAAATTATACAATATTAAAAATTATGAGTATATATGTTTAATTACAATGACGGACATAATTTGTTAAAACGATATTAACACGTGTTTAATGGAATATGTTGGATTGTATCATAGTTACAGTGACCATATTTTTTGGGGGAAAATAAAGGACATATCGAAGAAAATCAAAAAATACCTTATAAAATTCATAAGTTTATAACATTTATTATGAAAATAGTAGCATACAACAATGCATACATTAAAAATTTAAACAATCTGAATTATTACACATACACACATTGTAAAAATTTAAATAACATTAATTTTGATACTTTTCAGTAGAATTAATTTTTTTATAGCGCCGTTTCACGCTTTAAAGTCATAAAATTCCATACAGTTCATTTGAAAGTTGTATTTGACAGAAATACATGCTTCTAATGTGCTTACTTTTAAATGGGTTTTTTCATTCGTCCGCATATTATTCAGCAATGAAAATATTCGTTCAACGGGGGCATTAGATCCAGGAAGACAAAAAAAATTCTACGATTTTACAAACGTTTTTGAAAACAATTTCTTTTGCTGTAAAATGTTCAAAAATCTCAATCCACCTTTGATGGCAGGGCTGGTTATTCTGTCACCATTCGTCGATCTTTTCGTTTGTGACATATTTTTTTACACATGAAACTTCATCAAATAATTCACCGTCGAGTATATTTACGGACCAATGATTCGAAATAAAGATATAGCTTTCCTCTACCTTCGCCCACAAAGGGATTTCACATAATGTGACCCATTCAAACACCTCTATTTCAATAAAAAACATGTCCCAATCATTTAGATAATCTATGCACGTTTGATAAAATGTGTACACAGCATCATTGAATTTTTTGGCTTGTATATTTTCTGATTTTTCTAATGCTAAGACCACTTTTCTAATAACAATAGGAAGAAACCCCTCATTTTTTCTTTCAACTAACTTTAGCTTTAATTAACAAGTGTACCATCCACCAACTAGAGAGTTAAAAAACTATCACAAAAATCCCCATAAGAGTGTACACCCCCTGGTACTGTCAGTCGGCCGTTTGGTTAGCGACACACTGCACTACTGCGCTCTATGTAGCAATGCAACACTGATCGTGATGGCGTACACAAAACTAACTTGTTCAATATATTATTAAAAATTTTTTTTAAACTTTGCGTCAACTTTACAAAATAAAGGACAAAATGCCTATTTTAGAAAATAAATAAAGTTGAAGGACAGAGCAGTGAAATAAAGGACTGTCCTCTTAAATAAAGGACGTATGGTCACTGTAATCATAGTTTACTGTGTTGTACTGTACTGTAGTGTACATATAGAGGATGTTCCGTAAGTCAAGAACCATAAGAGTTATGTTGATTTTTGTTTATTCTTTTACAGGTGAATGGCGCTGAATAAGAAGGAATGAGTCTTTTGATTGTGAAATCCATTATCAGCATGAAATCCTCGACGAGTTTAACAGACTGTCTTTTAATCCGATGTATTATTCTCCTATGGTTTCGAACTTATGAGACACATATATTATGTTCTACTTCTAATGAACATAGGCTCCATTCTTATAGTGAGAAAGAATTAACTAATTAGTTTAATGAATTTAATTATGTTTGAATATTTAATTTTTGTAGCATAAATTTATTATTATTTATATTCTGTTTTATTCTTAACAATTCTACAGACTAATTTATGAACTTAAATATTATTAATAATGCAATATAACATATAGAAAATTATATTAGCAAATAGTTCATTTCAATTATGTATGGCATTTTCCATAAGTTACACTAAGTAATTCTAATATAATAATTTAAGGCCTATAATTACATTTAAAAAATTTTTTTAATAATTTAAATCTAAGTTTTTTAAACTTAAATAATTTAAAACTTAAAACTTTAAATCTTCTTTTTTAAAAATAAATAATTTAAAGCTCAGATTTAAATTATTTTAAAGTCATATTATGCCTATTAAGTTATTAAACTCAATAGACAAAGCTTAAAGTTCCATTAATACATTTTTAATGACAAAATAATTTATCCAATAATGGAATTTCCTTTAATTCTTTTTATATAAAAATATTAAGAATTCTCTATTTGATAATTCATATTTTGAGAGAGTTGATAACTGCATTTGTACTTTATTCAAGTATCTAGGAAAGAAGTGGCTTATATTTAGTTGTATAAACAAGAATATGAAGTTCATATAATATATTTAATAAATTATTATTTAAGAATTGATAATTTAACATTAAAAAAAATTAATTTCTTGTACAAAATTAAGAAATTAATTTGAATATTTTTGTAAAATAAATTTTCAAAATAATAATAAAAAATGTTTTAATTAATGGGTATCCTTTAATTTGAAAGATGTCTAATAAATTAATTTTTAATATAAAAAATAAAAACATTTCTTTCAGTATAAATAAAGGGATTATATAAAGTAGCCTTAAAACTGTGTTTTGAGTCTTTTATTTAGAGAATATCTTCACAATTCACCTGAAATAATAGTGCAAGTTAAAACATTTTTTTCAGAATGCCCAAAGTAAATTATCATAACTGGAATATTCTATCACAATATCTCAAAATAAGTTAGAAATATTTGGAGGCTTAAAGCAGCATCATCAACTGACACTTCCACTTACCAATATGGAAGATGCTATAAAGAAGAACATGGGAAAAAAAATTAAAATCTGTACAAAGAATGGAGAAAAACATGCAGATGGCTACTAAGCTGAAAGGAAATAGATTATGGCACTTAATATATATATATAAATTTTTATCAGATTGCTTTATATTATATAATAAAGATTTTTTTTATAACTAAAATACTGGAAAACAGTTTATCTAATTTTGAACATATTTTTGTTATTAATAAAAAAAAAATTAAATTAAATGGAAAATGGAATAAAAATTCTTTAATTCTAAATAAAGAAAATTACAATTTAAGTAATGACTATTATTAATTTATTAGTTAACAGCTTATATTTTCTTTTGAAGAAATTAAATTGAATTTTTAAAAAATAAATATATGTAAATTGAAAATATTTATATAAATTTTGAATTGAAATTTTAGAAAATTTGTATTCAATGTAAAAAGCTTATTTGAAAGTTTTTCATTTAAAATGAAACATTATTATTTAAATAAATGAGACTAATGTTAAAAGATGAATAAATTTAGTATTGATTATATACTAAATTTGTTATTATTAACTATTGTTATTTTATTATGAATTACTACCATGGAAAAATGTTAAATAATTAAATAATAATAAATTAGTTTTATATAAAATAAATATATTTAATTTACATTTTCAAAATAAAGATTATAATAAATAATACAAAAAATATTTAATATACATAATTGTAATTAAAAATACAATTGTAAAAAAGACATTAAAAGAAAATAAATAAATTAAAAATTCTTTCAAATAAATCTTCATAAAATATGAAGTTTATTAATAATTTTACATCAAGTTTTTTTTAAATTTATAATTTATATTACAAAAATAGATAAAGAAATTGTTAAATTTATTTTTTATAATAAAAAAAATTTGCTTTTTACTTATTTTTTTTCTACTATAAAAAATAAAATTTAATAATTTTTCACTATAATCTATTAAAGAGGATATTAAAAATTCAAAATCCTTTAAAATGAAACGTAACATTTAAATATAATAAATAATAATAATAAATACTAAAATTTTAATAGAATCCGCTTACTTAATTACAAATGTTACAGTATCAATTGTTCAATCTTACCACAATTAACAATTTATTTATTTATGTATCAATATTTTGGGATAATAAATATACATAAATTAAAGTAAAAGCTCTTTATCTATTAGCACTATGGATACAGGGGTGAATGTAAGTTTGCATGTTTTTTATTTATGTCCTCTAATACAGGTTATACTTACGCTACTGATTGTAATTATCTTATCTTATTCCAGCTTAACGTTATAACTCGGTTATTATTTTATTATCAGTAATCTATATGCAAATCTCAAAGTGATTACAATAAGTGAATTCTGCTGTAGGCCATATTTAAATTATTTCCTCCTTTCGGGCACGAAGACTGTTTTTTCGATTCCCATTAGAGATTCTGTCAGATATATAACGGGGATTGAAGGATAATGAGGGAAGAAGTCCAACATATCCTGATTAATTCAATCGTGAATATTCCTGAAAAAAGCCGGACTCGGGTCTGAATTCCGTCAAAAGATAAGATAAATGGAGTAAGAAAACGCAACACTCGGGCCATCTACTAAAACTCTTTTTAGTAGATTCTAAAGACTCCTGGAAGGAGACTTTCTACGAGAAACTGGCCCTATTTAGGTGTTATACAGGTGGAGAAAACCCAGGAAACTCCAAAGTGGGCAGCACTTTGATTGTTCATGGGGTTCGTGCCTCATCAATTCAGTACAGTAGTTTTATCCATTCATGCACTTGGAACGAATCCCCCTTAGAACGGCAAGATAATGCCAATATCACCTTATCCATTTGAAATAATTGACATTAAAGAAGAATAACTAATAATAGCAATGTCTTTGATGTAATTATTTCTTTATTTAAGCATTAATCATACTAGAAATTAAATTACAATTTATGAAATTTAAATATTAATATGTTAATAAATAATAAACTAAAAGTTCTATTTAATATTTTCAATAATAATATCATTATTTGTTAATACAGCTAAATCTTGGCTTAATAAATGATGTAATATTTATATTGGCTTTATAATTAATTAATTTATTATTATATTTACAATTAGTATGTTCATCTTTAATTTAACATTTTAGAATTTGTCGTTTAAAAATGAAATAAGCATACATAAAATTTATTTATTTTTAATATTTATATTATATTATTGAATATTATAGGCCTATACTTTCAATTTTAAATTATTTCTGCTATGCCTGTTGCTTCCCAGATAAAAGAAAACAATAGGTCATTTCATTCAAACTCAAATTTTTATATTTTTATATAACTCAAATAATCTCTACACAAAATTTAGCTTTCTTTTATGTAAAAAATATGACAAAAAGGAATATAAATTAATTATTAATTTCTAGTCTCTGTTATATATAACAGAAGGAGAGTATGACGATCGGTCAAAAAATGGCCCCCAAGATCTTTACATTTTTTGACTGGGAAACCTTAAAACGTTCAGAAATACAAAAAATAATAAATCCGGTGTCAATCTTTTATTAGAGGCTGTTCGTCTGCCTCACTAATCAAAACATTACAAAAATCTTTCGGTGACGGCACAAAATATATATATACAGTATATACACTAAAAGATAAAACAGAAGCAAAAGAAAACGATCGGTCAAAAAATGGCCCCCAAGATCTTCACATTTTTTGACTGGGAAACCTTAAAACGTTCAGAAATACAAAAAATAATAAATCCGGAGTCAATCTTTTATTAGAGGCTGTTCGTCTGCCTCACTAATCAAAACATTACAAAAATCTTTCGGTGACGGCACAAAATATATATATACAGTATATTATATATATAGTATCATAAAAGCATTGCAAAACTTTCAAACAAAAGCATACAAAACTAATGCTCTTGTGAGACAGTCGCAAATGTAGGTCTTACTATTAGATAAAACCCATCCACTGTATTCAAAATGGATCCATCAGTGCAAATAATGCATTCGTATCTAAGTCCAATATGGCTTATTATTTCCCCCCTATTGACTTTCAATTATTTTTGTTAACTCTGAATGGCGTCATTCATGCTTAACTATAACCTAGCACTAGATTATGATTAATTACTAGAATATATTCGATCACGCGTTAAATCCGAAATGCTCCTTTCGGAATTACTCAATGTTGATCATTTTTCTAGTATCCCCTACAATAAGCTCAAATATTATAAATACTATTTACAATTATCGAGAGTCATGGCAATCCGCGTTAAATGTAAAAGTCACTGACATACTATATATATACAGGAATCAGATTTTCGGGTGTCGACTTTTCCATCCCCAAACGCCTGTAGTCAGTCTGAATATGTCGTTCGAAAGATACTTTTTTTTTTGTTAGATAGTGTGCAAAATTTCAGATATTTTTCTATAAAAGGCTTTCATGTAAGCAATCGAAGGCTAACTAGGTCTAAATGTAAAAGGCCTAGGTCTATGTAAAAGGTCTAAATAAAAGGCCTAAATGTAAGCAATCGAAAAGTGCAAAAATAGTCAAAGAAAAGAAAAAAAAGATGTATTCTTCTTCTTCATCCGTCTTAAGAAAATACTTGACTGTTAGTTAAATTGTCATAATTTTTTACTTGATTCAATTTTTATACATTTTATTTGTTTTTATTTGAATTTTTATACTACGATAATAGGAATTTAGCTTATATTAAATGTCATGTAAATATTAATTTAAAGCCAATCTGTAGAAAAATAAACGTTAATTAAATTCTCAATTAATTTAAATTTTATGAAAAATAAAAGGTGTTTATATAAAATTTTAAAATCCTATTTAACTTATTTGTTTATAACACTGTGATATACATATATTGTGTTTTCAAAGAATCAGTCAGTATGTCAAGACGAAACTAAAATCTTAGAAACATAAAATCTAATCTTTCTAATTACGTGGATTTACATATAAATAAGTTTTTAATTGATCAATAAAAACATTTTCGATGAGATTAAATATAATTAAATCAACAAAAAAAAAACTAATTAGTTATAAATAATATTTAAAAAAATAAAATTTAGAAACTAAATGAATTAAATATGTGAAAAACACAAATATCAAAATAAGAAGTAATTAAATATAAATAAGCATAGCATACACAGTATAACGATAATACTGTAATTAGGTTTGTAAATAAAATGATAGAAATTCGAGTTTTTAATCAAATAATTTAATTTAATGTTACAAGAAGTTTATATTAAAAAGTTATATTTTGAATTATTTTACCCCGAATTAGTCAGTTTGCATAAATGATGAATTTTTTTTTTTTCTTTATAGTTGTGGGTTCGGCCTCTACAATAAGGGCGATTGAGTAGTAAGGGCCTGATATATCCACTTAGAAAAAATTTCTGGGTTGATTTCCTGGTTCGATTTCGGGTTCCGCGAAGCGATAGGCTGACGCCCAAACGCCCTTGGATATCAGGCATTCTATAAATAAGATATAGAAACTGAATCCCTATTTGAAATAACTAGAAAAGTTAGAAAAGTAACGTATGATCAGATTCGATCCAGATCTGATCAAATTTCTTACTGTACCATCATTCAGCAGTTATTGTGTCCATCAGTGGGCAAATGAATAAAACCATTGAACACTGGTCGCGGCTTCGCGCCTGAGGAACGGGCTTGCCATGTGGATTTTTCCTGAGTTTTCCCCCTATCCAATAACTAAATAAGGCCAATTTCTCATAGAAAGTGCCTCCCAGAAGGCACCCCTCTCCATAGCAGATAGCCCATGTTTTGCGTTACATTCTGAAAGGACTATGGTTTTTTAATGTGGAAAAAACCATTTGTTGGCATATCTCAGTTCAATATCGGACGTAACTATCTTAAAGTACTCCCCAAGAGATCAGAAATTAAATTAAATATTTTTGAAACAAGTCCATGCTTTACTAGTTAATGTCATTTTAATTCTCTTTGGATGATAATATGCCGAAGAAAATCCAATAGCGATAACTATAGTATTTCCTAAAATAAGAATGGAACAATTGTGTTGAACCTTGAATATGTATTACTCCACCACTGTAGCTAAGCAACCAAGCTATTTTAAGCAATAAAGCTTACAAAGTAGATTATCATTTTAATTGTATTATATTGCATTGAATTACAATTCAATGGCTTGGGTACAAAAGATGATAAGCCACACAAAGAAAAATTTAAAAAATATCACATTTAAATCTTTAAACATATCGATTTCAGGAAAAGATTTTATTTGAAGATTTAAATATGATATTTCTTAAGTTCTTCTTTGTGTGTCTTATCACCTTATGCTTATCTGTAACTTAATATTCGTCTTCTGCACCAATTTTCGCAGTGATTTTAATTAGGGGGTTGCAAATTTTTCAGCGAGGTTTGAGTATTACGGGAATTGGTGCTATTAAGTTTTGGTAATTAAGGATCGAGAGGGTGGAGAGATAGACGGGGCTCACCTATCATATCTCGAATGGGGTAGGACTTAAAAAACGGCATAATACAACAACCAACGAGCTATAATATACTGCATAGAGTGACTGTGACCATGGTTGCAGCGCTCTTGGTGACAACGACGGGTACTTTCAACGGATTAGAATATTCTAACTCGTTGCCTTTACACAATACAAATTACACGCCCTCTTGACTAAAAACAAAATGGCAGACGTGTATTCAATTTTCCTCAAATATGGCGTCGCTTCAGCCACTCTATGTAGTATATTCTAGCTCGTTAACAATAACGTATTATGCTGTAATTTGATACTTTAAAAATAAGAAATGTGAAGTAATAATTTAAAAAAATAAATGACTTAAACTACTTTTACGGCTTACACTCCGTCGCAGAGTTTAGTGGAGAAATATCACAAATAAACATAGGCATATCATGAATACAGAAACACTTGCATTACGGATTAATTTCATAGAAGTGTTCGAGGTAGAAAAAAGCAATGGACAAATTGCACGAACGGGGAGACTTGTTGCAAAAACGATCGAACAGATTGCAAGAATGATCGTGCCTTCAACGTACAGCGTGGCAGGAAATACAACTCATTACGCAGAATGGAGAAAGGATGAATCCTACATTTAACGGAATGATTTCTCCTAATTAAAGACAAATTAGTATGTTGCTCTTAAGAAAATTATTCTAATTTTTATTTTTTTTTTAAATTCTGGTATGTATAAAGTTTGATGTGACCAGATGTTTCGTGATGTTTTGTAAATATTTTTCGCGGTACCATATCACAGTTGACAAGTCAAATAAAAGGAGAAAATGGAAGAAC